ATAAATACTTTATATTAACATATTTATAAAAAAAACTATTTATATTATTAGTATAAAAAAGGGCCATGCATATTTACCTCTGAATTATTGTCTTCATCACAATCCACATCTTCATTTTGAGTAAAGAAACATATATCATCCAAAGAACCTATTTCAAATATGAAAATTTAAATTAAAAATTAACTACTTAATTAAAGAACAAAAAAAATATACATAAAAAAAGTAAAAGAAACATAAACTTAATACCTTTAAGATCTGTTCTTAACCAATCTTGAAGACACATCAATGCTTCTATTGTATCTGGATTAAGCTTGCTACGATGTGAGCTAACAACTATTCCACCAGTACCAAATAAGTCATTATAAAATAAACTTTAAACTTTTCTATATTATATGTATATCAGTATATGACTATATGTAAAAAAATTAACTAGGCAATTCACTAATATAAACACTATAATCAAGCTGTTACAGATCTGCAGATAGTTACAAATATAGAATTTGTGGGGGTTTTTCTTCCCTGTTTTAAAACTAGCAAAACATAATCGAACGCCGAATAATTTTTTTAAGTTCATGTTATTATAGATTAAATATTAGAAAAAGGAAAAGAAAAGAAAAATTATACAGAAAAATAGATATAAAAAAGGAATTAGAACTCAAATTTTCAGTTAAATGATGTTTGGTTGCTGAGAAAACATACATGCGGAATGGAAAAAAAAAAAAAAGAAAAAAAATCTTCAATAAAGCTGAAAACCAGTAGGGAAAAACTAAAAATTCAAAAATCTGTTTTCCTTTCCTTTCCTTTTCCCTCGACTCTCTCTGCAACAAAGCACCGAAATGAAATAAAAAATAAAACATTAAACACATATGATACAATGTTGACCATGTCGGTTCGAAGAAGCAGCTAGATCCATGAATAATGCCAGAGAATTCAAATAGAAAACTCAGAATCCAAAATTTCGGTGCAAAGATGATCCTCACGTCTGCAGATCTGTAACAGCTTCAGCAGCATATTTGTAGCAGCTCCAACAACAGATCTGTAGTAGATCTATAGCAGCAAGAAAGGAAGAGGAAGGTTGAAGGTGAGGTGAGACTTGAGAGCTTGATTGTCCGGTTGAGAACAAGAGTGAGTGAGGGGTTGTGGCTGTGTGCGTGAGTGAGGAGAAAGGGAGGGGAAATGAATAAAGTTATAAAATTAGGGTTGGAACTTGGAACTTGTAATTGTAAGGAGGATGCTTGATTGTTGGGTTGGTCGGATGGGTTGGCCGGTTGGGTTGGGTTGGGTTGGGTGGGTAAAATTTAATTTTTATTAAATAGGGTATGGGTTAAGTTTGGGTTTTATTTTAAATCTTAAATTAAATTTTAAATATTTTTTTTTAATTTTTTGCGGGGACGGGGTCCCCGCGGGGTGGGAAAAATTCTCCGCGAAATTTCACGAGGAGAAAATGCCCCCCATCCTCGCCCTGCAGGGAGGAATATTCCTCCCCGCCTCGTCCCCATGACGAGGATCCTCGCTGGGCCCTGCGGGGATCGAAGAAAATTGCCACCCCTATCCGGAGCACCTAAGCGAATTGCTAACGTGCACCTAAGCAACAAAGTTTTCGGAGCCACGTAAGCAAAAAAGTCCTGCACATGTCCGGCGCACGTTAGCAAGAGCACCTAAGTGAACTGCTAACGTACACCAAAGCGACAAAGTTAGCGGAGCCACGTAAGTGAAAAAGTCCTGCGCATGTCGGGGCACGTTAGCAAGAGCACCTAAGCGAACTACTAACGTACACCTAAGCGACAAAGTTAGCGGAGCCACGTAAGCGAAAAAGTCTTGCGCATATCCGGCGCATGTCCGGTGCATGTCCGGTGCACGTTAGCAAGAGCACCTAAGCGAACTGCTAATGTGCGCCTAAGCGACAAAGTTAGCGGAGTCACATAAGCGAAAAAGTCCTGCGGATGTCCGGCGCACATGTCAGGTACACGTTTGCAAGAGCACCTAAGCGAACTGCTAACGTGCACCTAAGCGACAAAGTTAGGGGAGCCACGTAAGGGAAAAAGTCCTGCGCATGTCCCACCAAAGCAATCGCAGGAAAAAGCGAAAGTGTCAGGCGCGCACGTTAGCAAGAACAGATAAAAACGAAACAGTTACTGCTTTTTTTTTCTTAATCTGCAGATGTTCGGAAGTGACATTAAAATCAAATTGCATTATACCCTGTATAAAAGAAAACTCTTCGGTATTTGTTTCATATTCAAACTCAAAATATTACTCAAATAAAAACCAAACACCTACCACCCGAACAATATTACATCGATGAAAACAGCTTATATTAGCACAGCGCAGTCTCACTCTTTTCTTCCTCTTCATCACACAATTAAAATCCGTTTCTCCATCGAATTCTTCTTCTTCTTCTTCTTCTTCTTCATTTCCCGAAAGCAGAATCCTTAAACCCTAGCTGAGAATCTTGGTTTTGTATTCGATTTCTGATCCATGGCGACGGCTTATGGAGCTGCAACTACCACTGTGATACCAAATGATCCCAAGATTCGAGTGCACAGCTTCATCGGCTTCAAACCTTCGCAATCTCTCGCTTTCAACCGGAATCCTCACGTTTTTCTGGTTCCGAAATCGACTCCATCTGTTATCAGAGCTGTCTCGACGGTGAGTTTCTCTTTTTTTGTTGCTTTAGTCAGATTAGAGCATTCATTGCATTTTAATGTTTTTAGTTTAATTTTGTAGGAAGGAATACATAATTCTTTTTGATACCTTTTGTTTCCTAACAATTATATTGATTCTCTAGCATTGAGTTGAAAGGAAAAGAAATGGGTAACTTTTTTTAGCTTAAAAATATCGGCTTTCTTAAAATAAGTCACGAACACCAGTCGTGACAGGTTCTAGTTTTAAGCTCAATTGTAAACCATTTCTTTCTGATTGATAGCTTGTGCAATCCCTTTGCAGCCGGTGAAGCCTGACACTGCAACTGAAACTAAGCGCAGTAAAGTTGAAATAATTAAAGAAGGAAGCAATTACATAAGATACCCTCTTAATGAGGAGCTGTTGACAGATGCTCCCAATATAAATGAGGTTGCCACACAACTTATCAAGTTTCATGGAAGTTATTAACAGTATAACTGGGATGAGCGTGGTGCCAAGTCATATTCGTTTATCACCAGTATAACAGTAAATTAAAAATAATTAGTGGATATTTTTATCACTTATATGAAAATAATATTAAATATTTACAATTAAATTAAGTGATTAGCTCAACTTAAAGAGAGAAATCTAATTGAGATTAAAGAAAAATTTTTTATTTTATTTTTCTAGTATTTAGACTTTTGGTTTTAATTCGGTTAAGAAATTTTTTTTAATTTTAGTCAGAATTTTTTCTTTAAATTGAGTTAATTGCTTGATTTATTATAGATATCTAATATTATTCTTATATATAGTAAAGATATCCACAAATTATTTTTAATTTAATATTTTTTTTAATTTTTAAACTTTAAAGATTAAATTGTTATATTTTTAATATTTAAGGATTGATTTTATAAATATTTTATTTTTATCTTTATGGAGAGTTGGCGATTTTATTAGTTTAAGGGTTAAAATTTTAAGATTTTTAAGTTTAAAACTAAAAACTTCATAGTATAAAGTATAAAATGAGGATGTAAAATCTTTAAATTTATTAAGTTAACGGGTTAAAGGAATACTTTAGCCTCATATTTACAAACATGCCCCTGCCTTCTTCCCAATGTTTCTTCTGCGCAGTGCCTGCTGTGTTTTCCAGATTTAGAACATGAGCAGAGCTTCTTCTTTTTTTTTTTCTTTTTTTCTTTTTTCAATGAATCGCACTAAACAAAGCAGCAAAACAGATTTTTAAAATTTCATGGGGTGCTCCTGGGCACGTCCGACCAAGTTTCCTAGTTTTATGAGTTGATTGGAGTCCATGAGAAGATGAAGAAAAAGACTAGCTAGATCCATTTCTCTTTTCTTCCATGTACAATTATAATTGTTCTTGAGTGAATGATGAAAACAGTAAGTACTCTTACATCCAAATTAAACTCAAACACAATGACAGTAAGTTTCTCAAACAATTCAAAGTTGAAAAACCATGAAAGTAGAACACCTCGAATACATAAAACATCATACATATAACATAGTGTCCATCATACATAAAACTAGAAACG